CCCTCCTTCCCGAAAGTTCTCCAACACCCGGCTCGGCACTTCCTATTACAGTCTCTTCAAACTGGAAGGTACTTTGGAAGCACAGAGACCTTCAGGATGTCTGGCTTAGCCGTCTCAGGTGTACAGGTGAGGAAATACCTGCTCTTTTCACTAACAGTAACGATATTAATAATAGCGAATAAAATGAACACTATTGTGCCGGGCACTTCAGATGTATGAACACCCATGTAAGCCTCACAATTAAGCCCATTTTATAGCGGAGAGCGCTGAGGCACAGGAAGGTAAAGTGACTTGACCCAAGATTGCACAGGAAATAAGCCACGCCAGGATTTGGACCCTGGCAGTTTGGTTCCGGAGTTTTTGCCTTATTGCTTGCCTTAATCTATTTATACTGTTACTGTCTGACTTGCTCATCTATGTCTCTTCTTCTTAAGTGCAGAAGTTTTGTCTTATCCTTCCCTAATACGTCCCGGGTCCATCCACTCCCTGCTGCACAGCGAGTGAGCACACAGCAGGTGCCTTAGCGGTGTGTCGAGACTGGTCCCCGGCAGAGCGAACGCCCCTCCTGCCACCAGGTGGCAGCATTGGCCAAGAGTTCTTTCAGAACTCGGCGACGAGCTGTCAAATAAAAATTTAAACTTTTATTTCTGGTACAAATGATAAATACTTTGCATTAAAAATCTGGAATTCAAGTTTTCCTCATACTTCGTGCTCCCCCCCGCCCCAGAACTTTACAAAAAATATTTCTGTCTCGAGGAGGGAAGCTGGGGCCTGCTCTCCCAACAGTCTGGGTCTGGGGAAAGGCACGTGTGGTTTGTGTCCGGGCTGGGAGGCCCTCACCTGCCCCAGTGTTGGGAGGACAGCACTGAGCAGAATGCACTGTGATCTGGTGGAGGGGCTATGGCAATGGTCCCCGACGGCCCCCTCGCTGAGACGTGGTCCCCTCCTCGTTGGGCATTTGATGGTGCAGAGGGGCCAGCCAGCTCCTTCCAGATGGGGGAGTGGGGGTGCGTGTGTGTGTGGGGGCGGGGCGGGGGGAGGTCGGTGTAACAGGCACAGACACCTTTTCGGGTCTAAACCTTCAAAGAGTTCAACAGAATCACGGGCCATCACATTTTGTTTGCTTGAAAGAGAACACTTCAGGGGAGATGAAGGGGAGGGGGACACATCCGGAGAACCCCCTTCTCTCTGTCCCCAAGGGAGGCACAGGGTGGGAGTGGGGGCTGCCTTCATGAGTTAACCCCTGCCATGCCACACCCCTTTTCACAGTCTTGAGTGATGGGGCCAGAGGCTCCGGGATCAAGGGAAGAGAAGGGAGATAAGGCCTCAGTGGGGGGCGGCCACCCCCTCCAGTGGCTGGGGGAAGGGCGGTGGACCCAGAGCATCGAACTCAGAGACGGCCCCCTTTCACCCCAGCCCAGCTAGGGGTCCTCATCCCAGAGACACAGCTGCCGCTGGGGCACCGAGAAGTCGAAGCTGTAGTTTTTCCGGCAGCTGCGGATGCCGCACTTGTAGGGGGCCGGCCGGTCACGGCTGTGGCAGTACTTGAGCATGCAGGGGTACCAGGCCAGGCTCAGGCCGTAGCGGCAGACACAGGGCTTCCCGCCATCCCCCACCTGCCCGCAGCGGGACAGGTGCACCTGCTCCGAGGCCTCCGGCAGAGCCTCAAACACGGAGCTGTCCACACCTGCGGGAGAGAGGCAGGCATCAGCGGAGGGGAAAGGGAGGGGGGAGCCTGCCCCGCACGGCCTCTTGGGGCATCCCATCAGCCCTGCGAGCTGAGCATTTCCATTCTTGTCTTTATAGAGGAGAAACCCGGCCCAGAGAGGTTTAGTGATCTCACTGCGGTCACACAGTAAGGAGCGGGAATAGAGCCCAGGTCTTTCTGACTTCAAGGCCTTCCTTATAGGGGCACCTACGTGGCTCAGTCGGTTGAGCGTCCGACTTCGGCTCAGGTCATAATCTCATGGTTCGTGGGTTCTAGCCCTCCGTTGGGCTCTGTGCTGATAGCTCAGATTTGGATTCTGTGTCTCCCTCTCTCTCTGCCCCTCCCCTGCTCATGTCTGTCTCTCTCAAAAACAAATAAGTGTTAAAAAGAATTAAAAATAAAATACCACTATACCAGGATGTGACGGAATAGAGACGCAGGGAGAAGGAATAGAAAATCGAGGAGAGCTTATCTTAAAGGAGGTGGTATCTGAGGAGGGCCAGGTAGGGAAGGACCAGCACAAACATGCTGGGAAGTCAGGGTGGCCAGGGTACAGGCAGGGGTGCTGGGGGAGACAGCAGTGACTGGCCCCTGGCTTGGCTCAGTGGCCACGGGACGGACCAGCCTCTCGGGGGGACAGTACTGAGCTTGAACCTCAGTTTGGAGTGCAGCTTACTGGGAGGGGTGTGTGTGGAGGGCATGAGTACAGCTCTTGGCTATTTCTTTTTTTTTAATGTTTATTTATTTTGAGAGAGAGAGCACAAGAGAGCGAATGGGAGTGGGAGAGGGGCAGAGAGGGAGAGAGAATCCCAAGCAGGCTCCAGGATGTCAGCGCAGAGCCTGTCGTGGGGCTGGAACTCACCAACTGTGAAATCGTAACCTGAGCCGAAGTCAGCCGCTCAACCGACTGAGCCACCCAGCTCCCCCTGTTGGCCATTTCTAAATCCAGCGGTGCCCTGGGAAGGGCAGGCACTTCTCTACTGCTCAGCTGGCTGGGCAGAGGACCAGGGGCCTGGCATCTCCCTGTCCCCTCTACACAGAGGACCTGAGGACAGTCCTGGGAACGGAATCAGGAAATGGGGCAGCAGTAAAGCCACACAGGCCTAAAGGCAGGGACCACACCAGAGACGGGAGAGAGATGCTGGCACCAGGGAAGGCATGAAGGAAAGGAGAGGGGGCAGCAGGGGTGGGCAGGGAGGAGTGGGTGCCGACCCTGATACCTGTGCCCCCTCCCCCGACAGAGGTCCTGTGTTCTCACTAATGGAAGGAATGAGGTGGGTGCTGCCTGGGTATCTCCCTCCGCACGACCTGGGAAGTCACAGGTCTGTGGGTCCCTACCTGGAAACGGTCGCTTTCATCTGGCTGACTCCTCTCCCCGAAGAGCCACACGGGCACCACCTCCTCCAGGAAGTCTGCCCTGACCGATCCCAGCCCGGTTTCGGGGTCCCTCCTCTGAACTCCCGCATCTCGTTACCGCGCTCTCGCCTGGGTGATGTGATCCCAAGCTGACCTTGCTCCAGCCAGAAGCGGACGTCCTCCCGGCGGGTGTAGATGGTATCCACGGCCTCGGCACACACGTTGCGAAGATGGGGGCTCAGCAGGCCCCCCTGGCTGAAGTTGACGGCGATGTCCATGTGCAGGTGCTCTAGGCCCCGCACCTCCTCAGCCTGCCGCACTGCCCGTGGGTTCTTCTGTGTGGAGAGGAACAGCCACTCCCACCCGGCCTCTGAATGCTCCCTGCCCTGCTTTGCCTAATCGCTGAGAGTCAGACAGGCCAAGGCTGGTTGCCTTCAGAACCTTGGGGCAGGCTGGCAGTCTAGGGGCACCCGGCCTCTCCTCCAGCTTCCGGAGACACCAATCCCCAGGGCTCAGCCGAGCCTCTGCAGCTGGCCACTGGCCGGCGTCTGGGGCTGATGGAGAATTCTGACAGTCATCAGGGCTGGTTATTGGAGGTAGCAGCCAGGCGAGCTGGCCCAGGACAGATGCCCCCGGGGTCCCACACCTTGCAACAGGCAGAGAACAGAGTCTGGGACCGGGAAGGGAGGGGAGGGCCTCGTTTAGGGAACACAGATGAGGCTGGAGGAGAGGCCCAGGGGCCAGGAAGGGACAGGGAGCAGGTCAACGGGCTGAAGGGTTCCGAACACTGTGCTGAACACTTTCCATGCATGCTCTCATTTAATTCTCAGTATAACTCATTTCTCCATAGAAAGTAGAGGC